CCACACCCGGCTAGTTTTTGACTTATTGTAGAGATGAGGTCTTGCCAAAGTTGCCCCAGGCAGGTCTTGAACCCGCAGGCTCAGGCAATCCACTCACCTCAGCCTCCCAAAGCGCTGGGATTACAGGCTGAGCCATCAAGCCCGACTTATATTTTTAACTTATATTTCAGTCCATTAGAAACGTATTGCTTTTGACTGCCAGCCAGCTTATTGAGTTTTTCTTAGTTGTAATTATTTGTGGTTGATCCTCTGTGTTTCCAGGAGAAACAGATAGAGGTCACTAACAGTAACAAAGTAGGGAAAGGTACCCTGAAGAAAAGGTTGAATGGGTTATAGGAACTCAAAACTTCATTTTGCATGGCAAGTCAGGAAGGACCTTTTAAAGGAAGCATTAAACAAACGAAGTCTGCAATAGGAGTTACCCATACAGAGGGAGAGAAGAGCTTCTAAACAGGGGCCAGCATGTGTGAGGAGGCACTGTATGTGCAAGGAACTGTAGCAAAGATGAGGGGCCAGAGAGAGGTGAACGAGGTTCTTCAGGTTGTGTAAAGGAGTTCATTTCAAATCATGAGTGATTGGAGGTTTTTGAACAGAGGTGAGACACATTCCAACTCAGATTTCTTGAATGATTACCCTGGCTGCTTTGTGAAAAATGGATTAAGGACAAACAAGAATGGGAAAGAAGTCCAATTAGGAAGCAGTTGCAGTAGTGCAGCAAACTTGCTCATCTTGAAACAGGCTATCATTAATACCATCTTTCTCTTCTTAGTTCTTTAGTCTCTAAAGAGTAAAAAAAAAGTTAAGTGTTTACTGGATTTAAAAATAAATTTCAAATTGGAGAACATGGGATTTTCTGTTTCAGATTTGCCACTAGTAGACTACGTTTTATTGCGTGGTTTGTAACTTCATAAAAAGCATATGTTGACATGTTTGTCAGGTTTCCTACGTTATTAGAGATGAAGTGGAGAAGTACAATCGAAATGGAGTCAATGCCCTGCAACTGGATCCAGCACTAAATAGACTTTTCACAGCCGGCCGAGACTCCATCATTCGAATATGGAGTGTCAATCAGCACAAGGTAAGGCAGGGGTCAGGCTTACATTTTAAATCTGTATTCAGCCAGGTGCAGTGGCTAATGCCTGTAATTCCAGCACTCTGGGAGTCTGAGGTGGGAGAATTGCTTGTGCCCAGGAGTTTGAGACCAACCTGGGCTACTTAATAAGACCTTGTCTCTATAAAAAAATTTAAAAATTAGCCAGTCATGGTGGTGCATGCCTGTAGTCCCAGCTACTCAGGAGGCTGGAGCGGAAGGATCATTTGAGGCCAGGAGGTTGAGGTTGCAGTGAACAATGATTGTGCCATTGCACTCCAGACTCAGTGACAGAATGAGATCCCTACTCAAAAACAAATAGGGCCAGGGGCAGTGGCTCACGCCTATAATCCCAGCACTTTGGGAGGCTGAGGTGAGAGGATTCCTTGAGTCCACGGGTTCGAGACCAGCCTGGGCAACTTGTTGAGACCTCATCTCTACAATAAATAAAAAAAAATTAGCCAGGCATGGTGGTATGTGCCTGTAGTTCCAGCTACTTAGAAGACTGAGGCGGAAGGATCGCCTGAGCCTAGTAGGTCGAGGCTGTGGTGACCATGAGCGTGCCACTGCACTCCAGCCTGGGCAACAGAGTGAGACTCCAACTCCAAAACAAAACAAAACAAAAACAAATTTAAACTCAGCACATTTTGCACAAATGGCTTTCACTGTCTAATATGACACCTTTCATGGTTTCAGTGTTTTTGTTTTGTTTTGGTTTTTTGAGTAGGAATCTTCACTCTGTCTTCCAGGCTGGAGTGCAGTGGCACAATCATGGCTCACCATAGCTTCAAACTCCTGGGCTCAAGCAGTCCTCCCACTTCAGTCTTCCTAGTAGCTGGGACTACAAGCATGCACCACCACACCCGGCCGGTTTTAAAGTTTTTTTTGTAGAGACAAGGTCTCGCTATGTTTTCCAGGATAGTCTCAAACTGCTAGGCTTAGGCAGTCCTCCTGCCTTGGCCTCCCAAATGCTGACATTATAAGCATGAGCCACCATGCCTGGCCTCATAGTTTTTAGATCTTAACCTCTTTGAACATTGAGTTATTTGGTGTACTCTATAAAGACATTGCAACCGAATTCTTTTTTTAATTTTTTTATGTTTATTTTAAAGATGGGTACAATTCAAGGTTAGATATACTAATGGTCATCGTACAGGTAAAGTTTGGGCCTCACTTCAGTCTCTACTTTACCTGGTTTGAGATCAGGTACCCTTACTGATGAAGTGTGCCCCCCCCCATCCCTGATGTTTCCCACTATTGCCAATTCCTTTCTTATAGTATTATGATAGTTGTTCAAGATCCACTTATGAGTGAGAACATGTGGTACTCAGTTCTTTGTCTCTGTGATAGATCACTGAGTATTATAGACTCGAAGTCCATCCAAGTTGCTGCAAAGTTCATAATTTTGTCCTCCTTCGTGCCTGTGTAATTCTATTGTATATATGTATCACATTTTTTTTTAATCCAATTCACTTTTGATGAGCAGCATGGTTGATTCTATGCTTTTGCTATTGTGAATAATGCTGCAATAATTTGTGTGCAGGTGTCTTTTTCATAGAGTGATTTGAGTTCCTCCAGATATATTACCAGAGTGGGAATTGCAAGGTTGCATGGAAAGTCAATTTTTAGATCTTTTAGGAATTGCCACACTGTTTTCCACAGAGGTTGTACTAGTTTACAATCCCACCAACATTGTAGACATCTTCCCTTTTCTCCACATCCTCTTCAGTATCTGTTGTTTTTTGAGTTATTGATGATGGCCATCCTGACTGGAGTTAGGTGGTATGTCAGTGTGGTTTTAATTTGCCTTTCTTTGATGATTAGTGAGGCTGAGCATTTTTTCATGCATCTGTTGTCTGCTCATATGTCTTCTTCTTCTGAGAAATGTCTATTCATATCTTTTGCTTACTTTGTAATAGGGCTGTTTGCTTTATTCTTTTCGGCACGTTTGAGTTGTGTAGATCCTAGGTGTTAGGCCTTTGTCATATATACAGTTGGCAAGTGTTTTTTCGCATTCTGTGGGCTGTTTCTCCTCTGTGGTTTCTTTTGCTTTCCAGAAGCTTTTCAGTCTGATGAGGTCCCACTTGTCTATCTTATCTCTTATGGCATGGGCATTTGAGGTTTTGATTCCTAGTTCCAATTTCCATAAGAATGTCTCCTGCGTTTTCTAGGGTTCTTACAGTTTGAGGCTTTATGTTTAGGTCTTTGATCCATTTAGAGTTGATTTTTGTGTATAGTGATAAGTAGAGGTCTTGTTTTGATCTTTTGCATGTGGTCAGCCAGTTTTCCCAGCACCATTTACTGAATAGGTTTTCCTCTCCCCAATGGTTGTTAGTGAAGGCTTTGTTGAAGATGAGATGGTTGAGAAATTGAGGTTTTGTTTCCGGAATCTCTATCCTGTTCCATTGGTCTATATATGTCTGTTCTTGTACCAATACTAGGCTTTTGATTATTGTAGCCTTAGAATAAAGTTTAAAGTCTGGACGTTGATACCCCTCGCTTTGTTTCTTTTGCTGAGGATCGTTTTGACTATTCATGGTTGTTTAGGTTTCCTTATGAATTTCTGTATTGTCGTTTTCAGGTCTAAGAAGAATGATGCTGCTAATTTAATGGGTATTGCATTAAATCTGTAGATTGTCTTGGGTAGGATAGACTTCTTAACAATGTTGATTCTTTCAATCCATGTGTATGAAATATTTTTCCATTTGTTTGTGTCATCTTTGATTTCTTTGAGCAGTGTTTTGTAATTTTCATTGTAAAGTTCTTTCACTTCTCTGGTTAGGAAGATGCCAAGGTATTTCATTTTTTTGTTGTTGTTGTTACTATTGTAAATGGAATTCTGTTTTTTATTTGGTTCTCTGCCTGTTTGTTGTTGGTGTATAAGTGTGCGGCTGTCTTTTGCACATTAATTTTTGTACCCTGAGATTTTGCCAAAGTCCTTTGTCAGTGCAAGAAGGTTTTTGACAGATTCCCTTGGATTTTCGAGGCGTGGAATCATGTTGTCAGCAAAGAGGGATAACTTGACTTCCTCTTTTCCTATTTGGATGCCCTTCTGTTTTCCTGATTTCCTTCTGTTGTCTAATTACTCTAGCTAGAACTTCCAGCAGCCAGAATTCTTAAGCGTCTGAGAAAAATCATTGTAGGAAAGTTTCAGAAGTAGGGACTCCTTAAACTAGCTTTGCCTTAAGTGTTCTCTGCTATAAAGGAACAAAGAGGTTTGACTGGTAGAGTGATTACTTTCAACAATTTATTTTTCTGCTTTTAATATGTTCCCCAAAGCCTCTCAGGAACCTTACATTAAAAAGGTTAAGTATACTTTTGCATTTATAATTAATCTTGAATATTTGATTTCTTCATTTAAAAGTGATTAGGGCCCCCACAGACCCATAGGACCTTATTAGATAATAGACAATTGTTGTAAAACTATGAAGACAACATGCTGTCCTTCAGGAGCTTTAAATCTGCTTTCTTAAGCAGGGAACAGAATTTAAATATATGTAAAGATAAATTCCCAGTTAAATGGGAAGAAACTATTTGATATTTTGTTGGAATGCCTATATTGTCAATGACATAGAAAAGAAGATTCAGAGAAGGAATAGGAACGCTTATTGAGCTCTTAACCTTGTGTCATACACTCTTGGCAGTTTTATATCCAACATGATTTTAATTCTCACGGTATCAAAGCAGCTGTTAGGATCCATTTTCATTGATGGGAAAGCAGGTTCAGAGAAACATATGGTTAAATAACTAGTAAGTGACAGAGAATTAGAACTCAGCCTAACTCCAAAACCCTGGTGCTAGTAGGCCTTATATTTTTAAAAGGCTGTGTCTGTCTGTCTGTCTGTCTGTTCTGTAGAGAAAAGTTCTTGCTATATTGCCTAGGCTCGTCTCAAACTCCTGGGATCAAGCCCTCAGCCTCCCAAAGTGCTAGGATTACAGGCATGAGCCGCCATATCCTGCCAAGCTGTGTCTTTTTTTAATAAGTTTTACAAGTCTGAAGTTCCATGAAGAAAAAGAACAACTACTTTGCATAGTTGATAGATAATGTCTTTTTAAGTGGACTTCAGTCCAGTGGACTTTGAATTCTTTAACCAATGGAAGCAGTGGTGACCCAGTGTCAAAAGCATGGAAAGTAAGAAAATTATTTATATTTGACTTTGAAATGCTTTTTGATATTTATATTTGAATTGGAATGTCTCCCTTCTAGGAAATCACAGTATTTCAAATTAAGGAAAATACAAGAACTAACCTGGAAGAATCTGGAATCTGCCTGTCCTGCCCTAAACATTCTGGTCTTCATTTTATGACTAGATTGAATAGCATCATTTCTCAAACAGACTGGTAGAGAGCCGTTCTCTTTGCCCACGAAGTGTTTCAAACTTGCCTGTTTTAGATGTAGGATGATAACTAAATATTCTTCTTTAAAGACCTCGCCTGGTAATTAAACCAGGTGAGAGAAATAAAAGAATCTCAAGTTACGTAATTGAAATGGTGACACAGTTAGTATTCCCTCAGACTTTGGATTGAATTTCTTCTCTGAAGGACTGTAGATTTCATGAAGAAAACATTTAACTCTGAAAGTAAAAACAGTAGTAGGAAGCTAAAAGCAGAAGTGTTTATCTCCCTCTGCCTTCAGGCCAGGCTCCTCACCACACTCACGAGACTCATTTCTGCCCCCGCTGTTTGCTGGGAGCCTTTGCCACCACTGATTCAAATCCCCTTAGCCTGCAAATGCCTTCAAGTCTGGTTTTTTACTTTGTGTCACACACAGTGCCTAACCTGGAGCTTGTTGCCTTCGCTACCACAGAGCATAAAAATTAAGCATTTATCCTGGAAACCTAGGATTTTATTAATAGTAAAACTGTCCTGAACAAAACTATTTATATCTGATATCTGGAAACATCACCTGTTTGGTGAAAATCTATTCTGAATTTAGTTTTCAATTTTAAGACCTCAGAGCAGTTTGTCACATTAATTGAATAATTTAAGTATATCTATAATTTATAATATATTGTATTTTCTAGTATAAATGCTTATGATTTTTCTTTTAATTTCAGCAAGATCCATATATAGCATCTATGGAACATCATACCGATTGGGTAAACGACATTGTACTCTGTTGTAATGGGAAAACATGTAAGTATTTCTTTGGTTTATTGGGTTTCTGGAAGTTTCTGATTCAGTTTTACATATTTTTCATTTTTATGTGTAAACTTTCTTATTGAAGTATAACATACATACAGAAAAGTACATACACCTTGACTGCAGTTCAATAAAATTTTATAAAGTAAATACCCAGATCAAAAAACAGAGTATTACCAGGAGTCCCCTTTCAGTCATTGTCCCTTGCCCCAAGGTACCTGCTCTCCTGTCTGAACACCGTAGTTAATTTTGCCTGCATTTGAACTGTATATAAATTCATATATATTCTTTATTTTTTTTTGAGTTGTAGTCTCACTCCTTCACCCAGGCTGGAGTGCAGTGGCACGCACGCTCACAGCCACCCCAACATTGACCTGCTGGGCTCTGGCAATCCTTCTGCCTCAGCCTTCCGAGTAGCCGGAACTACTACCACACCCAGCTATTTTTTATTTTATTGTAGAGACGAGGTCTCACCAAGTTGCTTGGGCTGATCTCGAACCCGCGGACTCAGGTATTCCACTTGCCTCGGCCTCCCAGAGTGCTGGTATTACAGGCTGAGCCACCGTACCTGACCCATATATATTATTTTAGTCATACTTACACCTCTTTTGAGTTCTTATTTTAGTAAAATTCATTTCTGATTTTGTGGTCTGAGTTAGAAACATTTTTCTCAGTCAAATTAGTCGAGGCTTCAGCAGAACATTAAAAAGTTTGCCCTATTTATAAAAATAAAATAAACATATGTGTGTATATATGTGTATATATGTATATTTTTTTCTCTTGAATTTGTGTCTTGAGATAAAAAACATTTGAGGCAATATACAATCGGTTATAGAAAGAGTTTTTATGTGAATATGAGTGTGTGAGAGAGAACACGTTAGTTTGATTAGTGTTGCATTGTTTTAAGATAAATTTTTAAAGTTATAAGTCATACTACTAAGGAGTTTTATTAATTATTTGTCTCTTCTAGTAATATCTGCTTCTTCGGACACGACAGTCAAAGTATGGAATGCCCATAAAGGATTTTGCATGTCAACATTAAGGACACATAAGGTAAGATAACAAATACAGTTCTCAGTGTCTTTAGTGTAATATTGGGATCTTAATATTTTGTGTGGCTTGTTTTCTTACTGATCTAGTATCTAGTAGCTCATAGTATGTCTGTTCTGTTGCAGGATTATGTAAAGGCCTTAGCATATGCCAAGGATAAAGAACTGGTAGCATCAGCTGGGTTGGACAGACAAATATTCCTTTGGGATGTGAATACTCTAACAGCATTGACTGCCTCAAATAACACTGTCACAAGTAAGGTGTTTGAAAAAAATTTCTTTGAAAGTGATCCAAGTTGACATAAATAAAGAATGGTTTATAAAACATTTTTGATAGGTTTGCATCGAGACAGTGGTTCATATTTTGAGAGTGCTTCTACCTACAGCGTTCTAGCCCCCAAGAGTATGATTGAACAACAAGGAGCTAGTTCCTCACTGCAGTCTAAAAATGGTAACTTCTCCAGGTGTAACCTGGTTATTTTTTGTACATATGCATGTCTTAGCTCCCTAGCTAAAGTGTAAGTCCCTGCAGGGTAAACTTTTAAAAGTGTTCCTGTGTAGTAAGAACTTTGGAGTCTAAGATGGAAAATACCTAAGGGAAAGAAAGAAAAGGTTTTCAATGACAATTTAGCAGGACCCTTTTTAGAGCAGTCCTAAAGAATCAAGTCACTTCCAGAAGACCCCCAAGAGGAATAGAGGCAATTCAGAAATGTTCACAGCAGATTAATAGTGTGGATGCTTCATAAGCTAAGAGATCTCATACTGCCAAGTCAGACTTATACAAGTCTAGGCTTGAAATTCAGCCTCATGCTTGGCCTGACCTAATGGAGTCCAACAGGTCAGTTGTCAGAAGAGACTCTTAGGAGCACAGTTTTGGCTAAGCCTATCCTGGAAGAAGTCTGTGTTGAAGACATGGACCTAGGTCCAATTTATCATGATTCTGTGGAACGTTTACATTGACAGAGATAAAACAGTTCTACTAATATGTGCCAAGGAGGGCAAGGCGGGAAACCAATGTTTATAATCTCTTGAATTTTGTTTTGCCAGGAAATATGCAAAGGCCCAAGTACTATGTTCCCCTTGTTCTTCTTGATGTTTCACCTGTGAACTATCTCAGTGATTCAGCAGCTGGTCCTTGCTGGCTGCTGTCATATATCATTAGGCTCTGACTCTCTAGATGTAAGACCTATCTCAAAGAGTCACTAATGGGAGGGAACAGGGCAAAACAGAGTGTCACAAGGTCAGAGACCAGGCTTAGTGGATACAGATTCTGCTATAGATACATCTTGTTTAGAATTATTTAGCGAGGATATCACACATTTTTTATGATTATAGAAATAGCACTAATAATAGCTAACTTTTCAGTATATTTGTTATAATGTATTTATTGTAAAATTAGGATCATACTATATAGATAGTTTTATATGAAACTTTTTTCCATTGATACTGAGTTCTGAGTCAAGGGCATGACCATGGTTTTTGCTACACATTGTCTGATTTCTTTCCAGAAAGGTTGTACCAATTTATCTTCCCACAAGTAATGTATGAGAATGCCATTTTACTGTATTCTTTTTAAAATTAAGTATTACCTTGTTTTTTTGTCTGATTTGGTGTATGAAAATGGTATTTTTGTTTTGATTTGTGTTTTTTTGAAAAATAGTGAGATTAGACATGTTTTCATATTAATTGGCACACATATCTTTAAAAATACATTACTTATGTGACTAGCTTTAAAAATTGAATTGCAGTGCAATTCAATTTAACAAATATTTATTGAACACTTGTGTATATTCAAATCCAGAAAAAATATACATTTCAATAATGATACTATTGTTTAGAATTATTTCCATGATAGATTTCTGTTTCTTAGAGTACTCATAAAGATAAGATTTTCTTCATTCTATCATTAAACTTGCAGTTTCTGTTGACTAGTTACTAAACAGCTGCCAGTTCTGTTAACGTTTAGCTCCATTTATCCTCAATAGCTTCTTCTTTAAGCGGGAACAAAGATTCCATTTATAGCCTGGCCATGAATCAACTGGGAACAATCATTGTATCAGGGTCCACTGAGAAGGTAAGGGGTGTTAAAGAGTGTTTTGAACACTAGAAAACAAATAAATTCAGATAATTTGATCTGTGTAATAATTAAATATGTAAACAATAGTTTTGTCTACTGGGTGCTAAAAGAAAAGTTGTTTGTTTGTGGGATTTTTTTGAGTTGGAGCCTCACTCTTGTCACCCTGGCTGGAGTATAGTGGCATGCTCACAGCCACCCCAACATCGACTTGCTGGGCTCAGGTGATCCTTCTGCCTCAGCCTTCCAAGTAGCTAGAACCACAGGAGAGTGCCACCACACCTGACTAATTTCTTAGATTTAATGTAGAGACAAGATCTTATCAAGCTGGCCAGGCTGGTCTTGAACCCGTTGGCTCAGGCAGTCCTCTCACCTCCACTTCCCGAAGTGCTGGCATTACAGATGTGAACCACCATGCCCGGCTAAGAAAAGTTTTATTTTAATACATAATAGTATTAAATTATATAACTATGTACAGTGACAGGAGGTGAGGGGGGCATTTGACATCATTTGACATTAGAAAGACTTCCTCTCTAAGGTTGGAAGCCTTGGACAGTATCTGTTGGCAGAGGCAGTATTTTCTTGGTGGAATTTAATGGTTGTCATTTGACTTGTGAAAGTTATCTATTACTTAAATTTGATCAAGTATATATCCAGTTCATGTAATCTGTTAAAATTCACAGGTATTAAGAGTATGGGATCCAAGAACATGTGCAAAACTAATGAAGCTTAAGGGACACACGGATAATGTAAAAGCACTGCTATTGAACAGAGATGGCACACAGGTATGCAGCTTCATTTGGACATTTACCTAATGACCTTGTCAGAAATTTTCCCACTTTGTATACTATTGCATGGGTTGATTCAAACTGAAAGCCACATAAATTATAAATTGTGGTCTAATTTTAAATCTTTAAAGTACTAAATTGCATATATAGTAAACTGCATTTAAAAACTATTCTATTTGCATCACCTATGAGTAAAGGCAAAATAAGGAATTTCCTTAGGATAATTCTTATCCATAATGTTTTATAGAGGCTAAAATAACTAAAAATGTTACCTGTGTAAAGCAGAGGGAAGCTTTGGTATTAAATGCTTTCTTCCAGTGTATGAAGTGAAAAATTTCCTCATGGTTGGTCTAACTTTGGGGCAGGTTTTGTCAGTTGACAATTTAGATACAATCTGTAAGGTTAGTTTTCCTTTATTTTTCTCCCAGAGTTGGAGTCTCACTGTTACCCAGGCTGGAGTGCAGTGGCATTGCTTATGGCCACTGCCACCTCAACCTGCTGGGCTCAGGTGATCCTTCCGCCTCAGCCTTCCAAGTAATTTTAACTACAGGCACATGCCACCATGCCTAGTTAATTTTTTGGTTTATTGTATTGATTTGATTTTGCTAAGTTGCCCAAGCTGGTCTTGACCCCTGGGCTCAGGCAGTCCTCTAGCCTCAGCCTCCCAAAATGCTGGGATTACAGGCGTGAGCCCCCACACCCAGCAGGTTAGTTTTCTAACATAATGCTTAGAGTAAACATTTCAAAGAAAAACATTTTGGTAATGTTACATTAGCTCTGTTGACTACATAATTTGTGAATTATAAATCACAATTCTGTTTATTCTGTAGCAGTGGAAAAATAATTTTTTATCGGTGTAGATAATAAGAAACCAGAAAAACTCAACACCATTTTATGGTATAAGACACCTCTGCCATGTATTCCTGCCTCCCTAGGCCATTTTTTTCTCAGAGGGCAGTGATAAGATCAGAGATAAACGGAATTGATTGTGATGGGGTTAGAAAAGGGCAAGTAGAAAGATGATGACAAGAGAAACACTATCAGTTTGTTACTCCTGTGGAAATTAAGACACAGAAATTGCCTCTCATGGGAATCAGAGAAATCTTTGTCTTCAGAAGTGAAAGGAAAGTTTGAAAAGCTAGTTGAAGGAGCACTTTTCAGAACCAAGAGAAGAAAGTCTTGGAGGTACTTGTGGAAGTCTTTGGAAACGTGGAAGGATTGTGATGTACTTATGTGACCTTGATGAGAGGACTTCACTTTACTAGTCCTTCATTTACTTATATGCCAAATGAGAATCATAATATATAGTTTATATAATTGGTGAGAACATAATATATATAAGTATTTACTTTCCTATAAGCCAGAGCATTTTCTAGAGCTCTTGAGTTCCTTTGGCCCCATTCTCATGTGAGTAAGAGGCCCAGTGCAGTCAGCTCCTCACTGTTTGGCAGTATAGCTGCAAGGCTGCACTTGAGATGGTTGCCCATGACTGTTCAGCTAGTCCAGGATCAGACTGGGTCATGTGGTCTCCATGATTTCCAGAAGGGGGCTGTGGGTCTAGCACACCTTCTAAAGCTCCTCCTGTCTGCTGCATCCCATCCCTCATTCCTATCTGTACCATTATAATTGTGCTTCTATAAAAGGTGATTTAAATATCACATGTGTAGTTACAAATGCTCTTCACTTGAAGTCAGCGACGTTTATTATAAGCAGAGGTGGTAATGTGGCTTTATTTTAAAAGCTGCCTGTCAGTCTTAGAGTGTATAGTTCAGAAGTGTCATTCTTCATCTAGTTTTTCTTTCCTCCATTTTCCTCATTGGCAACTATAGACTAAATGTAAATTTAACTACCAATAATCCAGCATATTTGCATTATTGAATTGGTCAACAGAACAACTATAACTACTCATATGGAAAAAAGGGAAGAAGAAACAAGAAACTTTTCTTACTCATTCTTGAATTCTTGTAATATGGAAAAGATAGGTATCATTTACTATGCCACAGTTTATAGTGCATCCTACTGAACTGCCCTGCAAGGTTGTAGTATAGGCTCTCTTGTGGTGTTGTAAGTCAAGGTCTTGTGATAGAAACAGAAATAAAAACAAAAGCAAACAGAAACATATGTATGTGTGTATATTAGGCCAGGAAATCCCATGAACATCTCTGCCTGTTGTCTCATTCCACTGCTGCGGAGTGAGATCCTTATTTACCAAATCTATTTGCAGTTCTGCTCAAGGGAATTCTGCCTGTGAAGAGGTCTGTCAGCATTGCCGTTGCTTCGATTGGTGCTTCGATTGGTGCCAGCATTATTGGGCAGAGCCACCTATCTTCTCATCCCTTTTACTCAGGCAGTTAATTGTGCAGTTTCAAATGCTCTTCACTTGAAGTCAGCTACTTCTCAGGCAGTTAATTGCTTCGGTTACTGGGACAACCTGCCATCTTGGTTTGAGTCACTCATGTCCTTGTGTGTCACTCACAGGGTGTTTCTAGTAATACAAGTCCTACCAAATCTAGCTTATGGGTCTGGAGGTCTCAGAGTATCAGGCCACTTCTCGCCCTAACCTTCCTTGCCCACTTGGCTGCTCTCTATTGGCAGCTGAAATTGTGTGTTAGTGACCGTCCCAGGAACACCCCTGTTGGTCAGGAGCAGCCTAGCCCCAGTACACCAATACTTCCATCTTCATTGGCAGAAGCACAGGTGTCTGGTGAGGGCTACAGAATCTGTACCACTAAGTCTGATTTAGCAGAACCATTTGGGACATTCTGTCTTAGTCCCAGGAGTCACTTCACAATGTTGACTTCATGTTTAGGCAGTGGAAAATGCCTCCTCCAGCTCCTATAAGATACCATGCACTAAAATTCCTATAAAACTGGACATTGTTTAATCATACTGCCAAATTCTGCAAAGAAGTTAGCCAACATTATACATTCAAAGTGGTAGCTTTCTGTTTGGGGGACTGCATTTTTGTAATCATAGAATACTGGCTACCACTGGAGATTATTCTGTGTTCTGTATCAGGGTGGATACAACTTTGTGCTTCCTCATCTGCTTCCAACTGTGTACTTTGGATTTGGGACTTATTGCTTTCCTATTACAAGTTGCCCTGGCTATGACGCCTTTCAACCCATCCTCTTTGCCTCTCTCATCCTCCTAAAATTGTCAGACTTTGCTTTCTGTAGATGCATTGTCTAGAGTCTGAGGGATCACAGCTTTACTAACGTGGCATGTTGGACTAGCATTTCTTCCTGGAATGGAGAGTCCCTCCTTTTCCCCAACCCCATCAGATTACATGTTGAAAGTCTGCTTGTGACTTTAACCCCTGGCAGTTTCTTTATTGGTTAGTCTCTTGATTTCCTTGTGAACTAGTTAGAATAGGTGATTGAGCCACTAATGCTCCTGGCAGCTAGTGGAAAAGTTTCCTAGTATGTGTTCATTTAATTAAATACGCTTAGAGTTCTAAAGTCCCCTTAAAGTCACAGGGCAGGCCAGTAAATCCTTATTCCTGAGGTCTCATCTATTTGTGCACCTTCCAAAACTCTAAGCCCACAACTATCTTCCATTCTCTTTTTTAAAAAATTTTTTAAGAGACACGGTCTTGCTCTGTCACTCAGGCCAAAGTATAATGGCATGATCATAGCTTATTGCAGTCTCAAATTCCTGTGCTCAAGCGCTCCTCCTGCCTCAGCCTCCCAAGTAGCTAGAACTACAGGCATGTGCTACCACACCCAGCTACATTTTTAATGCTTCTGTTCTTTAGAGCTCTTTGTTTACTGACTTTCATACTCTTGCACTAGCTTTCTCCTCAAGGCTATTGTTTTTCCCAAGGAAATGAAGTTTTTATCCTCCAAGTCATCATAGTGACATGCTGAGTGTGGATATGGGGTGGCTAATTCAGCCTTTTCTGTCAGACTCACAGTATGCTCAGCCTTAATTTGTATGCCAGCAATTTCTATGTAGTTAACTCTCATGAGCCTTCAGAAATTGTCAGAATTGCTAATGTTAACTCACTTGAGCCTTGTATAGGAAGTGTCCAAGGTCACAGATAGTGAATGGTAAGCCTGAGACTAGATTTTACTTCTGACTGCTATCAGTAAAACTCAAAAGACCTGGCAGCCCATCGGGAGTCCAGAGCCATGAGAGAGAGTATGAGACAACAGTGTAACCAGGGCTCCAAAAGACTTGCTGGCCTAGGGTGGTGCTTGTCAAACTTAGTGTACATCGGACTCATCTGGAAAACCTCGTAAAGCACCGATTGCTGGGCCCTACCAGAGTTTCTGCCTCATTCGTTCTGGATGAGATTCAAGAATTTACATTTTTAATAAGTTCTCAGGCTGATGCAGCTGGGAACACACGTTGAGAACGACAGGCCTATGCAGATTGCTTCCTTAGTTTCAGCTGCCCTCAAACTTCATCTCCCTTATCAGATCATCCGAATAGGGCTTGCCTGCAGGATGGACTACAGAGGTGGTTTTGCCCAGAGGTTTCCCCTTATGTGAGCATGCACTGCCGCCCTTGGTCATTTCAGCCTGTGGTGCATGCTTGTCAGAAACCTTTATCAGAGGCAGAAATACTGGTTGTTAGAGGTGTGTGTTTGGCCGTGTGGAGTTGGGGAGAAGGCAAGTGCAAAACACGGAAAGCAGGAACTTTGGGGCAGGTTTCTTTTTTTGTTTTGTTTTTGTTTCTTTTTATTTTAGGTGTAACTATATCTCTACCTAAATTCTAACTCTACTCATTGGGCAGGTTTCTAACCTTACCTTGCTTGGTTTGCAGTGCCTTTCCGGCAGTTCTGATGGGACTATTCGCCTGTGGTCCCTTGGTCAGCAGAGATGTATAGCAACATACCGAGTCCATGATGAAGGAGTTTGGGCCCTGCAGGTCAATGATGCTTTCACACATGTATATTCTGGAGGAAGGGACAGAAAGATTTATTGTACAGACCTAAGAAACCCTGACATTCGAGTGCTAATTTGTGAAGAAAAAGCACCAGTCCTTAAGGTAAGTCATATATTTTATTTTTATAATGAAAGTTGTTGCTGATGTTACCCAAGTACAGCAAAATCTATATTAAAACATGAATCAATTGTGGGGTTATAAAAAAGGTATTTCATCATAGGTAGAACTTGACAGAGAAGAGTGTCAGTATTAGATACTCAGGGGATCAGTGCTGGGATGGTTTTTGTTTTTTGCTTTTTTTTTAAACAGTTATGTAAGTCACCTGTAGAAGAAATTGTAACTTCTCAGGTACATTAGTGAGGCACTGGTGAATTCTAGTGAAATTGCTTCACACGTGTTCCTGAGCTTGCCTGACTTTCCTGCCTGTTTTTAAGAGGAGGAATATGAGGACTTAGGATTATCTGAGCAGACAACAAAGCAGAGGGAGGTCTGGAAAATGTGTCTATGGTCTCAGGAGTAAGGATATGGACGAGTACTCCTAAAGAGGAGGGCACAAGCTGCTTCAGACTCTCAATCATCACTGCCCCCAAGCAGTCCTGACAGTCAGGATCTGCACTGAGGGTAAAATGGTACTTGAGTCTTTAAAGCATTTATATTGACATATTGACACCTGCTAAAAGCGTTAATATGGACACACTAAAAAATGACCAGTCAACATACAGAGTGCAACAATTAGGTTCACAAACCATCCTGGAAAAAGTGCTACATACCTCCTTGCTGAAATCACTGTGGTCACCTCCAAAGTGCTTCCTTTGGGAAGCTATGCATCGACACCAGCACATAGTCTACCCATCAGAGCAGTTTTGGAACTCTTTTTCTGGAATGGCTCTCAGAGCTGTCATTATTTTTTGAGGTCTGACAAGTTCATGAACTTGCCACTGTGTGTTTTTGTTGACAGCACTGTACAAATAACTGTATTGAAACACCTTCCCTACTCACCTGATTTGGCCCCCAGTGACTTTTTTCTTTACCCAAAGATAAAGGAAATATTGAAAGGAAAACACTTGATGACATTCAGGACATCAAGGGTAATATGACGATAGCAGTGATGGCCATTCCAGAAAAAGAAATCCAAAATTGTTCTGATGGGTGGACGAGGTGCTGGCATCAGTGCATAGCTTCCCAAGGGAAGTACTTCAAAGGTGACCCTAGTGATTCAGCAGTGAGGCATGTAGCACTTTTTCTAGGATGAATTCGCAAACTTAATTGTTGGATCTTATATGACAAGATAGATAGATGTTCAGCCTCACTGATAATTACAGAATTAAATATTGAAATAATAGTAAGGAGGTTTCCAGATTTAAAATGGAGGCATAAAGACAGCACTACCCTCCTTTCTCAGAAATCATCTGAGCACAAGGAAAACAAGAAATAGAACGGCAAATATCCATTATCTACAAAACTTAGTGACATCATAAATCCCAGACCACAGTATAGGAGGAAGGGCTGAAAAGGGGAATGGAGGTCAAATGAGATAATTGAGAGGATGCCTGTGGCCTAAGAACTCAGACAAAACTGACCAAGTACAGCTTTTTAAAATAGATGGCAGACCCTAATGGACCAAACCAATAATCTTTAGAGAAGCAAAGCTGAATTTGTAATGATACATACACAGCATGTGTGCAGGCAGCAAGCTGATGGGAGAGACAAGCATGGAGGAGAAACAGTCCGCTTTATGAATCCTGCAGCTGCCAGGATCTCTTGGCTGTGGAACTAAGATGGAAAGCACTTGATGCAGACATAACCATGTGTTATATGGAACGTCATTTTAAACTGAGGAGGATTGCTGCCAGCTAGGAGATCAGCCCTGTACCCACCACTCCAAACGTGCTGTTTCTTAATACAGGAAGCATAGTGGGTGAATATAGAGTGATTCTGCTTGTGTAATATATACATGCCTAGAAGCATGTTTTTATATATTTTTAAAATACAGAAGAATAAATAGTAAACTGTTCCTGGGTATCTTGTATTTAGATGAGGGGTATTAGCTGGGTGTAATGGCTCACGCTTTGGGAGGCTGAGGTGAGAGGACTGCCTGAGCCCATGTGTTCGAGATCAGCCTGGACAACTTGGCGAGACGTCATCTCTACAATAAATCAAAAAATTAGCCAGATGTGGTGACATGTGTCTGTGGTTCCAGCTACTCGGAAGGCAGAGGTGGAAGGATTACCTGAGCCCAGCAGGTCAAGGCTGTAGTGGCCATGAGCATGCCACTGCAATCCAGCCTGGGCAACAGCGTGAGATGAGGGGTATTTTTGCTTTTGCTGTATTGTTAGAATTTTTTTACTACAAACATTTTATTTTATTTTATCGAGTCAGGGTCTCACTCTGTTACCCAGACTGAAGTGCAGTGGCACAATCAGACTCACCGAAGTCTCAAACTGCAGGGCTCAAATGGTCCTCCCTGCCTCAGCCTTCAGAGTAACTGGGACTACAGGCGTGTACTCCTACCTCGCCTGACTAATTTTTTGTAGAAACGGGATCTCGCTATGTTGCCTAGGTTGCTCTTGAACTCCTGGACTTAAGCAGTCCTCCTGCCTCAGCCTCCCAAATTGCTGGGACTACAGGCGTGCATCACCACCATGCCTAGCTAATTTTTTAATTTTTTGCAGAGGTGGAGGGGGGTGGGTCTCGCTATATTGCCTAGGGTGATCTCGAACTCCTGGACTCCCTCCTTAATCTCCCAAAGTGCTGGGATTATAGCCATGAACCACCATGCCCGGCCTACCACAAACATTTTCAAAGAAAAAAGAAATGTATTTCTTTATTGTTAAGAAAGAACATAAGAACTGGAGTAGCAAAAACAAAGAATTATAAAACATCTTCATCCTTTTAACTGTCCATTTAAGTCACTCAGATTAACCACACTTAAAACTGTCAGCATGGTTTTTGGCAAGAAATCACCCCATTACACTTTAGAGGACTGTGAATTCCTTTAACAAAGGGACTCCCTCACTTTTCTGTACATCCCTAGTTTTTCACACATGGCCAAGTATAGTCAACACACAATTGTTGCATGAAGAAGTTGATATTTAATAATGTATCTCTAGTCCTGGCAGTTCTGAGACATTCTACAAAGCAGTATTTTCGTGACTTGTTTTCAGATGGAGCTTGATAGATCAGCTGATCCACCCCCTGCAATCTGGGTTGCAACAACTAAGTCTACAGTAAATAAATGGGTAAGTGATTCACTGAATACCTAGCAAAGGTTTGTCAACATGTAGTTTGTTATCGCAGACTTGCCAGACACCAGTAGTAAATGCTCAGTGTGACCCTGACTCTAGCTTGCATTTGAGTGGTGACCAAAACCTGACATCTCTATGATTGCAGGTGTGATCCCAAAAATCAAAAATTAAGGTAATAGTAAAAATAAAGCTTCTGTCATCTTTGTCAGGAGCCAAGATATATAGAAGATGTGCTTTGAATAGATACTGTTAAACCAGGAAATATTAGTACATCTTATGGCCTCATGAAGCTGCATTTGAAAACGGGCATTCCAAGTACCAACAAAACAGGAAAATTTGTCAGGATTCTATTTTTTCTAAGCTTAAGAGAAAGCAGAAAATTGTGCTGTCAGATTCATTTCCTTTTCATAGCATGAAAAGCAGTGGTAGAAATAGAGAATAAACAGGGAGAAGTCATCCAAAGCACTATTAATTTTTTAATCTTAATTAAATATTTATTTTCTTGATCACCAGATCAAGAAAAGAAGAAAGTGTTTGCATTTATTCCTGTTTTAAAGCAGGTCAAGTCTTCTTCCTGTGTGCTTATTTAAAAATGTTCTATATGTTGTCTAAATTGCATTGTGCAATTTGTGATCAACATAATTTTACCTGGAAGAGTACTCCTGCTTTTGTGCATAGTTTTTTCTCCCAAAGGACCACATTCCCTCTTAATATTTGTTTTTGTTTTTGTTTTTTTTAGATGATGGTAGGTAATTGTGACTAAATCGTTTTTGGTTAATGTAGTGGTTGTTGAGGTTTTCTTGTTTGTTCTTTATTTTTCTCACCACTTTAAACAGAATGGCAAAGCTTCAAAAGCATAAAATGATTAAATAACAAATTTTGTTCCTTTAGACTTTGAAGGGAATTCATAATTTCAGAGCCTCTGGTGATTATGACAATGACTGTACAAATCCTATAACACCCCTTTGTACACAACCTGACCAGGTTATTAAAGGTGAGTAAGAAAATTGGAAGCTATCATATCCTTTATTGAAGTTAATTACAGTTTCTGAGAGATTGACAAAAATAAAGACAATGACCTTTCTTTAAATGTAATTTTGATGTAAATAAAAGATAATATATTAGTTTATTTTTAATACAAGAAAACATTGTTTTTTTAAAATGCTATTTAGTGACTTTAAAAGTAGGCCTTCATGAGTTAATTTTTCTTCCCAACATCAGAATAGCCATGGTAAAGCCAAAGCCATTTTATAAAATGTATAGGATTTAATGTTGACTTTTGGCATAAGGCAGAAAAGGACACATAGGTCCTAAAATTCTACATGCTATAGTTGGTGTAGCAAAAAAACAGGGTGTGTTTAATGTCAGAGTTTGAGATTAGAATTTTTTGTGGCACATTCATTTGTAGTTCATAGATGTTCATGCTGTTACCTTAAGAATAGATTATCTGTTCAGAAGACATAGAAGAGAAGGAAGCTGAGAAGCAAACGTAAATGCAAGGTGGGACTAATGCAGAGGTTTCCTGTCATCATTTGAACAGCCCAGTGGATAAAATTGTTGCCTTTCAACAGTTTTCCACTAATAGCTCCTTGAAGTGAAGAGCCCTTTAGTCTATAATCTATTCTTTTTTTTTTTTTTTTTTTTTGAGTTGGAGTCTCACTCTGTCACCCACACTGGAGTGCAGTGGCATGCTCATGGCCATAATCTATTAAAATCAGATAGTTTTTCTTTGAATGTTTATAAATGAACATAAATAATTGACTGGTCTTAAATTGCCTTAGATAGAATTATATAGTCTTCTGGTTTGCCTTTTTTCTGTTGGCTAGTATGTTCCTGTTGTATACCAGCTAACTACTATTGCCACACTGTGAATTTAAAATGTAGAAGGATTGTTTTGCTAATTGTGTGTGTGTGTGTGTGTTTTTTTGTTAGGGGGTGCTAGTATTATTCAATGCCACATTCTTAATGATAAGAGACATATATTAACCAAAGATACCAATAATAATGTGGCATATTGGGATGTACTAAAGGTGAGTATCTTTTTGTACTTCCTTTATTTTTCATGTTTATGTATGATAATCAAAATAGTGCATATATAAATCAAGATTTAATTGTGGCAAAACCTTATACTAGGAGTGGATACTTTCTTATGTGAATATTAGAAAGACCATCATTTATCTTTTTAAAAACCTAAAACCGTTTTTGGGGTTTTTTTTGGTTTTTTTGAGTTGGAGTCTCACTCTGTCGCCCAGACTGAACTGCAGTGGACGCTCCAGACCACTGCAGCCTCGACCTGCTGGGCTCCGGCGATCCTTTCGCCTCAGCCTTCCAAGTAGCTGGAACTACAGGTGTGCGCTACCTCGCCTGGCTAATTTTTTGATTTATTGTAGAGATTAGGTCTTGCCAAGTTGCCCAGGCGGGTCTCGAACCCACGGGCTCAGGCAATCCACTCACCTCGGCCTCCCAAAGCGCGGGATTACAGGCTGAGCCACCGAGCCCGGCCGAGGTCTTACCAAGTTGCCCGGGCTGGTCTCGAACCCACGAGCTCAGGCAATTCACTCGCCTTGGACTCCCAAAGTGCTGGGATTACAGGCTGAGCTACCAAGCTCGGCCTCTAAAACCATTTGAATGGAACCATTTTCTCTTGTTAAGGTATTGCAAATGGTGTTTTATGCTGCCTTACCTTAAAATGAATACATCAGTGTTTCTCATCCTTGACACTATTGACATTTTGGGCGGGATAATCACTTGGGGATTTGGGGGAGCTGTCCTGTGTGTTGTAGGATGTTTAACAGCATCCATAACCTCTACCTACTAGATGCCAGTAGCAATTCCCCCAAGGTTGTGACAAACCAAAAATGTCTCCAGACATTGCCAAATGTTTGGAGGGAGGAAGAAGGAAGAATGATTAGGAAAATCTTGTTTATTTAGGCCTATGAACAAGAGTGGTACTTTAATGAAGGGAGTATAAAGAAAAGGAAGAAGCAAGGATAGTCCGGGTTTCTGGATTGGTGAATGGAAGTCATATAGGGAAAGTAAGGTGAAAAACGGGTTATTAGGAGAAAGGGACATGCTAGAAACGATGACAAATTTGAGGCTGGAGATCATGCATTTCTTTTTTTTGTTTTTTTTTTTTTGAGTTGGAGTCTCACTCTGTTGCCCAGACTGGAGTGCAGTGGCCACTCCCGGCCACGGCAGCCTCGACCTGCTGGGCTCCCGTGATCCTTCCACCTCAGCCTTCCAAGTAGCCAGAATTACAGGCATGCGCTACCATACTTGGCTGATTTTTTTTGATTTATTGTAGAGATTTGGTCTCGCTGCCCAGGCGGGTCTCGAACCCGCGGGCTCAGGCAATCCACTCACCTCAGCCTCCCAAAGGCGCGGGATTATAGGCTGAGCCACCGAGCCCGGCTGAGATCATGCATTTCTAGTGGCAATATTATCAAGGAATTGAGAGGCCAACAAGTCACGTGTCATCCATGTAGATAATGATGTTGTCCAGGATAAAAACAAGAACTTGAGATGGACTGCAAGACATTAAACCAGGGCTCCAATCTCCAGGAAACTAGGGAGAGTGACTAGGAAGCTTGTTAGCAGCGAAGGAAAGAAAGATGTACAGTTAACGGTGGCTAAATGACATGGGCCTCAAAGGACTAAGACTGTTTTACATGGAGATGGTGGCATGGGAGCATAAGCAGGATCCCTTTGAGATGACTGACAAAGTGAGACCCTTGGGAAAGAGCCATGTTGCTGTTAAGATGAGAAGGTGGGGAGCATTCTGTGAATTGGTTCAGAATTGAAGTGAGCTGTCATTCGAGATACCACTTGGTGCCAGAGAAAGTTCCAGGCATACTTTGTGGAGCATGCTTATTTAGGGAATGAGAGAAGGAATAAGGAAGGATTATAACAGTGAAATTTTATAAAGAGAAACTTCTAAATGACTGCCTGTATTAGCTGTTGTCTGATATATTACTTCACAGTTCTCTTAAAGTAAGCTCTTATAACCTGTTTGTTCACTGGAGACTTTCTCCTTGCTTGTGACTTTCTCCTTGCTTGTGACTTTTCATTTGGCTTAACTTCCAGGTAAGTGTATCAATATCAGCAGAATTATAATTTCTCCCCCCAAACGACTATTTTGTGGGGTTTTTTTCATTGAAATTTTTTGTCACAGCAGATAGTTATTTAAAGGTTAATACTTTAAGATTTTTTAAAAAGACCACATTCTTTTTGAAATGTATTTTAGACCATTTCATTTAGACATGTGAGAAAATGTATAACATTTTGAATAGCGAAGTCAGAATCAAATGGTTTACCACTTAATATGATTATGCTTTCTTTTTGATGTATAGGCGTGTAAAGTTGAAGATCTGGGCAAAGTAGATTTTGAAGATGAAATTAAGAAAAGATTTAAAATGGTGTATGTGCCAAATTGGTTCTCAGTAGACTTAAAAACAGGGGTAAGTTAGCAATTGATATTTGTGTAATTTGAGATAACTGGATATTTCTAAGGTGGCTCATAATTATTAGTTACAAAGTCCTATGTTTTTAGGTGTGAAAGAAAGTTTTTTGTGTTAATACTTAAAAAATGCAGTTGAATTGCCTTTGGTATCCCAATAAAGTAAATTGTAATTGCATTGAATCACATAAAACACATTTTGGTTCCTGCATCTATGGCTTAGACTTAGTCAAGTAGTACTAATAAATTAACGTTTAGAGACTTATTTGGAGAATGTATTTAGATAGAATGCCACTAACAGTTTTTCCTTTTGACAGATGTTGACTATTACTTTGGATGAGAGTGACTGTTTTGCTGCTTGGGTTTCTGCAAAAGATGCTGGTTTCAGTAGCCCTGATGGGTCAGATCCAAAATGTGAGTTAAAGTGTCCTTCCTTTTTCTTCTTCCCTCTGAAAGAGAAGGTGAATCTGAGTTGTTTTTTCTTTGTACTCATCTTTATAAAAGTTCTTTATATTTTGTTGATTATATCCTTGGTCAGTATTCTTCTAAGAATGTGGTTTGTAGAAAACAGTTTTAGTGGCTTCATATGGAAATAGCCCTTTAAAGAATATAATTCTTGTTTCTATTTGTTTTTAAAGAATGGCTACTTCTGAATGAGTAAAACATCTGTTTGCTTTGTATCATCATTGCTTTAAACATTCCAAGATAAAATTTTAACAGGCCTTAGCAAAATCTCTAAAGTCTTGATTTTAAACATCAGTGGCATTGGATGAAGAATTAAACATCAGAATATGTGAAAACTTATACTTTATATTTCTCTTCTTCTGTTTTTAGGTTAAGGCTAATTAACTCTCTTCCATTTCTTTCTTCTTAATTAATTTTTTGCAGTGAATTTAGGAGGACTTTTACTTCAAGCACTCCTAGAATATTGGCCTAGAACGCATGTGAATCCAATGGATGAAGAGGAAAATGAAGTAAACCATGGTTAGTGTTTTTATTTTCAAATAATTGATTAAAAATTACTCAGGACTAAAAGATATGTAAGCTATTTGCTGAAATGTGACATAATAAATATTTGTGGTGTGTCCAATTTATTGTCTTCTCTTCCACATCCCAAAGTAAGAGCATCCATCCAGTCTTTTTTTTTTTTTTTGAGTTGGAGTCTTACTCTGTCGCCCAGACTGGAGTGCAGTGGCCGCTCCCGGCCACCGCAGCCTCGACCCATTGGGCTCCGGCAATCCTTCCACCTCAGCCTTCCAAGTAGCTGGAACTACAGGCGCACGCTACCACACCTGGCTAATTTTTTGATTTATTGTAGAGATGAGGTCTCAGCAAGTTGCCCAGGCGGGTCTTGAACCTGCGGGCTCAGGCAATCCACTCACCTCTGCCTCCCAAGGTGCGGAATTACAGGCTGAGCCACCGAGCCCAGTTCATCCATCCAGTCTTAACTGAGACTGTGATTCCAAGAGGGCCGACCACCTTATGGATATAATAAACCCTATATATTCAAATTTACCTTAAAACCAGGCACCTTAGCAGGCTTATCACAAAAACATTCCTCAGAGTATCTATGATCTTTTGGATTTACCTCCAAGCTAGTTAATTAATTAGCTACATTAGAAAGCCAGGTTTATCACTGCATGATCACGTTGACCTGAAATGTTGGTATTTTCTAGCCTGATGATCTACCTGATTTTGACTCTGGATGTTTCCAAAAAATCAAATTCCAACTCAGAAGTGACAGGGTACTTGAACGTGAATTTGTAAAGAATTAATGTAATTAAGGACATCTGAAAGGAGTGTGTGCCAGATTGGGCGGCAGAGGAGAACATGTTTTGAATGTATGTATTTGGTTCAGTTTTATTAAAGGAAAGGGTAAGAAACAACTTAGAATTTCACATCTCATGTGTAACCTACAGCTGGTTGAAGGGTCATTGAGTTCCACTTACTGAGGCTTACTCTACTGGAGATTTTCTGCTGACCACCAGGAGAGAGCAACAGTGGCGAGTACCTCCTGCTAGGGACTTTGTTCTGGTTGACAGATTCATCCATGATGATTTGTGGAATTTAAAGCTCTCACATGAGGATGGCATGCTTCCTTGAAAACCAGTCTTCTAGCTGGGCTCGGTGGCTCAGCCTGTAATCCCACGCTTTGGGAGGCTGAGGTGAGTGGATTGCCTGAGCCTGTGGGTTCGAGACCCACCCAGGCAAACT